CTTACCCTACTAATAGTTAAGGCTGTCTTTAGCATTTGAGATTATTGATGAACACAAGACACAACATATAGAGAGTACATAGAATCGTATAACTTTAATGTGAGCTCCATAGAGTTGGGATATACTCGTATATAGGTGTTGGCATACAGAGACAAATATAGGGGAAAGACCCGTAACGCCGGACGGCACCAAGCACAGGACACTCTATTTAACACGTATTATTTAAGCGATTATAAATCTTTTCATTTCAAAATACAAGTGAAAGGGGCATGGGGGGCACACAAGTACAGGATCACGCGCCAAGCCTCGCCTGTAATGCATACGGCCACGGCGAGGGCAACCCTTTCCTGTTTCAGGAGCAAAATCACGGCGTCACCTAAATATCAATGAAAGTAATTCTAGCATATTTATGCATTTACATCTGAGTGGAATGCAAAGATACAAGTTTACTTTATTGTTATCCGTAAACTGGTAGAATATTATTAGATCTTTTAACCAATTTTAGTAGGTGCCATCAAATGAATGAATATGTCTGTCCTTTAGCACCGGACACTAAGTCGTCCGTTAGTGCCGGACAGTAAACATATTAATATTTTTTGTGAGAATTTACGTAATTTATTCCAATTATTTGATTTTGTTCTGTATGAGTGCTAACGGTTACTAAAAGCTTATGGTGAATGCACCAGCTGAGACCATCGCTGTGGCCCAGCCAAAAGGGTGAATGAATAGTGACTTTTTTTGTAATATCTAAGAATATTCGTCAAAGACACATGTACAGGCATTCCAGAGTGTGGAGATGGCTACATATGTGATCAATGCAGGTTATTTTGAAATGTCCGGTACTAGGTGCCACTGTTTAAAATTATATTTTTTATACCAAAGTTTGATTGATAGTATTAATTATTTTTTAGCAAAGATTGCGGTTTTGTTAATTTAGTTTAATTTCTAACTTTGTTATCTCACATAAATATATTTTTTTATTTATTTATAAATAACCTTAGGTGTCCGTCACTAGGGGACTTTCCCCTAAGCGTGTTGCCTTAACACAGAGACATAAGGATTTTGGCATAACATAATGTTTGCAAGTTTATTGATAATGCATTTAGCCACCTACAACATTTCTTTTTATTTTATATCCTACATGATCGTTATATATCATATTCTATGTTTTCTATTGAAATCTGTACTAGTTCTATTTTTGATTTGGTGATTTCATCTTTCTTCTAAATCTATCATCTTGTGGTTTTTTCTTCTTACTTCTTTTTCTATTCAATTACTATTAACAACTTTATTCTTCAAGTACAAATCACGTCAAATTAACCAATTCAAGTCACATTCAATTTAAGTCTATATCAATTGTTATATTTATATAGAGTACTCCACCGGGTCCTTCGATTTGAGTACCTTCATATCTGCAGGTCGAGTGTTCATTGGTTTAGTAAAGGATATAGTAACTTTTTTTCCTTAGCTTAACAAATGTTAAATAAAATGAATAATTTCATCTTCTTCAAAATAAAAGTAGTAGAAAAGATGATCTTTTACATAAAACTACGCTCATTTTATATGAGAATTTGCTGAGTTGAGAAATGAGTGCAAATATTTTCATTTTTTTAAATAAAATGACAATAACGATAAAAATTGCGCTTTTCTGTAGAAAATAAATTCATGAGTAATTAACGCGTTAATATGCTTGTTCTTCCTGTTGATTTTTATCATTCAATCATATTTATTGATAATCAATATTCAGCATTCAGTAGCATAATAGGACTATTAATAAAGCTGACTATGTTATTTATGTTGATTCCTATAATCGTAGATTCAATAACCGTAAATAAGAAGTCACCGTGCCTTAACCTCTTACGGCAGCTTGTTCGCGATGGCATCTCGTTCATATTAATCGACTGCTTATTGATTCAATGGACATCCTTCCTAGATAAAGTACTCTTAAATCATTGGTCAGAGTTAATCAACTATTACTCCAAACAGATAAATTGATTATAGTCACGTTATTACGCGTAAGTTACAGATAGCGCATTACTATTAAGGGAACACATTGCATGCTGCGATGACTTCCAGCGGTTATTGGCCCCGCATCGAAAACAGAAAGAGTTGGTCAACATTTTGCTCGAATTGATTTATTTATACCTTGTCATTAAAGTTTTTACATACCCTATGTACGTATTTTGACTTTTTATTTGCATGTCCCTTTGCCGATCATCCTGTCATAGTCTTTTTTGCACACATATAGAACGCCATTTAGTTCCTTTTGCTTACAGAGTATATGTGTGAATAGGACTTATTTAACCCTTTCGACTCGGATGTCGAGATCCGGCGACAAAATTCATATAAATCTCGGAATTCGCGAGTGGAAAGTGTTAAAGTTTTACCTTCTATATCTAAAGGAAGTGATGATCTATTCACATAACATCCCCATAATTTTCCAAAATGTAATGTGAAAATTATATTTATTTCACGTATTATTAGATTACCAATTAAATTGCTGTAATTTTGTTAAATTTACATCATATACCCACAAATGCAATACATACAATACGTATAATTGAATCACAATATATTATTAACAACTTGCCTTATAGAATAAAATGTTAACTATATTTTCTTCCTTCTTTTTTTCTTTAGATTTTTATAAATAAATATTTTCTCTAAGCATCTGTATCTATCTGCAATATTCTATTTAATAATAGTCAAAAGTAAATTAAGAGCTTATCCCAACGTTTTTACATAAAGAAATTCATTTTCTTTTTAATTGAACATTTAATAATCAAATTGTATATGCTTATTCAAAGAGGCTTATAAAATTGAAAAATTTGATTATTATTGCAATAAATATAGTTCAATTATATTTAATCAGGGGATTAGTTTGATTATTCCTAAAATCATTATCAAATCTTAAAATAATTTTCAAATTATTTACATTTCTAGTATAGTGTGAATTTATACTAAGTTTTGAGAAAATATCTACAAAATACAGAAATATTTGTATATTCTACAAAAAGTTGTATAATGATTTATATGTATACTATTTCAAAAACATATTGCTAAGTTACTGAATATATTAACCCTTTCGACTCGGATGCTGTTGTACCAGCGGCAAAATGCGTTATATCATTACAATGTGCGATTGGAAAGAGTTAATAATAATAAAAATGAAGATTATGTTGAATGACATAATCTTCATACATAATCTTGCTGACATACAAGTTGAATATTACAATCATGTAAAATCAAAATTGAAAAGGCTTACTACTGAGTAACCATTTACATCTAATGTTTAATTTGTCATATATCATCAAAATTACTGAATGTCTTCCTTTTTGCAAAGACAGATTGTAATTCAATAAAGAGAATAAAAAAAAATAAAAAAAACAATCATGTAAAAACGAATGGTTGGTGATAATGAATTTAAAATTGTAATAAGTAATTATTAAAATTTTGGGCTAGAACGAATGGACCTAAATCAGAGGTCCCGACTTTGATCGAGCAGCCTGAAGTCTCCTGAGTAGAGACTTTGGTTTTAATTTGGTAATATGTATAGATAGATAGTAATATGTTTCCAAGTAAAAATAGCCCATACCCGGAATTGTTTTGTTAATAATAAGTCATCACTATTACAGATATTGTAAAAATCAAATATTGATCACATAGAGCTGTTGTAACTATTTGGTTTGCCATCTATAATAAAAAGCTACGTAGTTAGTCTGATCGCGGTTTAAATATATAATTTAAAAAAAAATTGGAAACCGGTAAAATAAAATAATAAAAAAATAGTCAAATGTAAGTTGAGAAAAATATTGTCGAACTCGCCTCCCATAACCATATAATACTCGCATAGTCTGTGGTAATGTTGATATTATTATTCTGCGAACGCCCCGCGTAGGATGTTTCTACAATTGTTTTTGTGACCGGAGTGTAAGGCGACGGTAATGTGTTCATCACTCTTTCGTCTTGAAGCTAACTATATAATACGAGGCATTTATTCTCACGCATTTGAAATAGATACATACCGTATGCGTACCTTGGCATTGTCACATGTTGTGGGACTGTTCATCATTGTTGAATGTTATTACGAATGCTTATTTTATGCTCCATTTGACATTCAAACACATGAAAAATATTGAAAACGCACTGTTATGTTCTTTCTTTCATCTTATCTGTCCGAGATTGTATTTACAATGAATAATTACCTCAAGGAAGACAAAGTATAATGATGAATTGCATGCACATGTAGTCATCGTTGGATCGGATTCAGATTGAGATTTATTTGCTAATGTAATTGCTTAGCTTACAATCTTTATCTTTTTAATATTTTTTTTTTGAATATTCTGTACTCTACATCTTTCAACCAACTACTTACCTAGCAATATTATATTCAATCAATTGACCAGCAATATTATATTTATAAACATATTACAAATAATAATTGATGCAAAGTATACGTTTATACATATCTAAACTTATGTTTCGTTACTTTTCAAAAGAAATATAATTTTAAGTGTAAAAATGAACTTGAATAAAATTTTATTTTTAAGAAATAATTTGAGTAATCTATACCATACAGTAGTGAAACAAATTATACTCGTAACTATTGCAATGTAAAACGGTTCATTACATGCTAAATGATGATCATTTTGATAGGTGCGCGATAATGAAATTTCTACTGGCATTGAAAAACATCTAAAGTATGTAAGTGTGTAATAAAATATACAATGCCAAACTTGTATAATAAATATCGCTGTATAATAATTTTATAGTATTTCATCTAGTTTTTTTAAATACTTGTTTAATATATATATATATATATATATATATGTGTGTGTGTGTGTGTGTGTGTGTGTAATTATGACATTAATAATTATGCCACTGATTCAATTCTTATATTTATTTTTATATGCTATACCAAAATATTTAGGTATAATTTATTATTAATATGACATTAATACCGATTTGAATAAAAAAGTAATTTTTTTTTTCTCTTTCAGATATTAACATCTGCAACAGTAGTTTGTCTCAGAAATGGCGGCAACTACGTCGTCGCTGCGCTTCCTTCAAAGGAAGCTCTTCACACGACGGAAGTCCAGACCGGGGAAGCGATTCGCCTCTGTCTGGTCAAAGGTACACATTACTCGGAGACACTGGGATAAGTTTTGAAGACTCGCCTAAGAATTCCGAACGTCTTTACAACACAACCAAAGTTTATCATACATCATCCCTGCGACTTCCGCAAAAGACCGGCGTGCAGGACGTGCAGAAATTATTACGCAATAAGTTAAATCGCATTCACGCAGGTCTAAGAAAACGTCGAGCTATATCTGTTCAGGAAGTATTTGGAAATCCCGCAACGCCAGCTCCACAGCCCAGGTTTTATGTCCCAAGTCCTGTGTGTCCAAATGATGATTCTTTGGAATATCACAATGGAAATGGAAGTGGACCGTCTTCTTTACCTTTGTTTGCTTTGAGTTCAGCTGGATATACATCGACTCCACATATACGTCATCGTTCTCCAAATGTAACATTAGATGATTTGGATACACCAAAAAAACCGCCACCGATGGTTAGAAGAGGAAGCACACCAAATCAACAGAATAAATCCATTGAGAATCATTATAGAAGAATGAGCATCAACTCTCCAAGTGAATTCCACTCTAGTTCCGTAAACTATAGCACGTCAGTCGATAAAACCGAAACTACTCCTGTGATCAAAACAAATTCTAAAAGATGGTCTTTGATGGAAGCTACAAGCATTCGGCCACACTTCCGCATTGGCGACCGAGTACGTAACGACCGCGATGCAAAGATCTCAAACGATGCAGCACCAAAATCAATAAATAGCACTGAACTGAATTGTAAGACCAAAAAACACAGGGAGAGGACGAGATCTCATTCTCCGATGAAGCGGGATCCAGCAGCAAGAGACGCCCGAGTCAACCAAAGTTTGTTCGACAAGTTGAGGAATAGCGTAGGGAAGCACGGAAGTTTCAACGAAAGCAGGAAGACGCAGCAGCAAATGCAACGGGAGCAGTTGGCTATTAACAATAATGTTACGACCCAATCTGTGACCAAGTGTCCGTTGCCGGAAGTCCGGGACGTGACCACGACTGCACACCGGATGGTTAAGCAGGTACGTGCGTCGTGTGCGTGAGCGTATTTTATTTAAAAAAAAGCACATGGGAAACGTATAAAATGTGATTTTACATAATACCTCGCGCGGCTCATGCGGATTATATGACCCTTCGTGATTTTGAAACCTAATTTTGCTTTATAGATACCACTTTTAGCAAAACATCATATTATATTTCATTCGTTCTCTAGATTTAGGTACTTCTACGTTACACACTTTTGCGAATCATTTTTTGTGCAGAAATATAAAACAAAACTAGTGGGGTATATGGCATCGTGCCTTAAGGCAAATTGCTTGAACGTCCCGTACCGTAACGGAATGATCGAGGAATATTAAATGTTTTCAAATAGACTATTATAAATATTGTATGTAACATTGTCTAATATATATATAAGAATTATATAAACTGAATTGCTAAGTTAAACAAATTTGTTTAAAGTACATTAGAACTTTAGTCAGAATTACGATTAAAATCTGAATTATTTTCGATATACAAAAAAAAATTGAAAAAAAAAAATTGAAAAAAAAATTTGGAACAATTTTTTTTTCCAAAATCAATTATTTTGTTAAAACAAGCAGAAAGTTCTTTGAATCATTCAAATCGGACGCTTAGTTCTCTCAAAAACTGCTATTTTTTGCACATTTAGCTCTGTATCTTCAAAATGGCTAGGCCTGCCTTTGCCAAAAACTAATAACCACTTCTCCCAATCATTACTAATTGAATATTTTTTAGATCATTCAAATCGGATGCTCCGTTCTCTCAAAAACTCGATTTTTATTTTCTGCACTCTTTGCTCTTTATCTTCGTAACTGCTGGACCTGCCTTTGCCAAAAAATAATCAGCACATCTCCTTATAAATAGGAATCGAATGTTTTTTGAACCATTCAAATCGGTTGATCCGTGCGCTCGAAAACGTGGACGAAATATTGTATCCATACATACATACACACACACATCCATTTTTTCTGAGGTATGCCAAAATGTTCAGAAACCTTCAAAACGTCGAGAAGTGTAAAAATTTTCAATTTCGATTTTCGGCTCATTACAATAACTTACACTACGAGAAGTTAACTAGAATTATACCTAATGTTAATTTATGTGTCAACAATAATTTGCGTCTTATTTTAATATGCACCTGCAATATATATACCTGATTAACACCAATGCACATATAATATTTGCATTATTTATAATGAGCATCTGTTGTAAAATGCCTTTTTAATAAACATCTGACATTTTTCAGACGTTTAATAATGCAATTATGGCAGATGGTTTCCGTGTTCAAGAAAGCAATTGGACTGCTCTCTTGTTATTAAATGTTAATGCCATTATTGCAAGACAACCATCATCATCAAATTTAATTTATTTTGATCTTTCCAGTCATATGAAAAAAATGCTTAAAAACTGTAACTCAATATATTCTGGGCTACTTTTTCTCATTAAGTATTTTCTACGTTTTTATTGATGTATTTTCATTTCATATTTTATACTAGATATGAATATCGTATTTTATTTTTTGTTTTTTACAACATATTACATTTTACATATTTTTAACTTCCCGTAGGGCAAGTTGTAGTAATCACAAAAAAATCGAAAATGAAAATTTTTATATGTCTGTACGTTTCAAAGGTTTCTGAATATTTTGGCATACCTTAGAAAAAATGGATGTTTATGTGTATGTGTGTGTGTATGTGCGTGTGTATGTGCGTGTGTGCGTGTGTGTATGTGTGTGCGGATACAAATTTTCGTCAACGAATTCGGGAACACCGATCAATCGATTTGAATAATTTAAAAAACATACGATTCGTATTGATAAGGAGACATGCTGATTACTTTTGGGGAAGGCAGGTATAGCCGTTCCGAAGATACCAAGATAAAAAGTGCCGAAAATGGTAACTCAGTTTTTAAGAGAACGCATTTTTTTTTAATTTTTTGTTAAAAAAAAAAAAATTAAAAAAAAGTAATTTTTTGTCAAATTTATAGTTTAAACATCTAATTTTTTCGAAGTAAAATTTTTTCAAAGTTAATCGTTTTTAAAAAAATAATAATTTTTGGTACGGGAAGTTCCAGCAATTTGCCTTAAGGCACGATTTTATGCGCCCCACTAGTTTTATATCCTATTCTTCAAGTTTTACATACCTATTTAGTATCACTAGTCTATATATTAATTATATTAATTTAAACACAGGATTCTATCCGGGTACGTCTAGCCATTAAGGCCATACCCGCATTAATATATTATTATTAATTACATTATTGTTATCATTATATTATATGATTAACTGTTTATAGAAGATCGTTTAATTAAACCACATCGATATGTGAGACTCGATATCGCTCTAATAATATATCGAACATATTGTAGAGGATGCATGATTAATTAAAAATAGAGCATTACATTTTTAATTCCCGTAGGGTAAGTTATAGTAATCGCAACAAAAACGAAAATGAACATTTTTATATATCTTTATGTTCCAAAGGTTTCTGAACACTTTGGCATACCTGGGCATACGTGGAAAAAGTGTATGTATGTGTGATCAACACGGATCAACCGATTTGAATAATTGAATAAAAATATTCGATTCGTATTAATAGGGAGACGTGCGTGCTGATTAGTTTTTGGCAATGACAGGTTCAGCCATTCCGAAGATACGGGGTAAAAAGTGCCAAATATGGTAATCCAATTTTTGGAAGAACGGAGCCTCCAATTTGTAATGATTCGAAACACATTTTAATTATATTAACGAAATGAAGTACTGATATTTTTATGAAGGCAGGTCCATCGCTTTTGAAGATAAAATTAAAAAAGGGAGAAAATGCCATTTGGTCAAAAATGATTATTAGACATATGCACATCAAAGAATCACATATTTTATAGAGATTTTAATTTTAAGTACAATTATGTTTCTATGAGTTTTGTATCCAAGCTTATTATCCGTTAGATTGCAGCGCGACGCTTACGCGCTTCCATATTTTGACCCTAAAACGTTCAGAATTTTCAAAGAAATTCAGATTTTAACTAGTGGGGCGCATGGCATCGTGCCTTAAGGCAAATTGCTGGAACTTCCGTACCAAATTTTTTTTTTTTAAAAAGATTAACATTTTTGAAAAAAAAAATTACTCTGAAAAATTAGATTTTTGAGAAACTATAAATTTTTGACAAAAATTTACTTGTTTTTGAAAAAAAGACTTTTTGAAGAAAAGTGTATTTTGAAATATTTTCGAAATTCTGAACTTTTTTTCAAAGCAATCGTACTGCTTTAACTGCATAGAGACGAAATATCAAAGCGCGTAAGCGCCGCGCCGCCGTCTAACGGATAAGCATTGGTACGGAAATCATAGGAATGTGAACAAAATTTATACTTATTATTAAAATCTCTGTAAAATATCTGATAATTTGATGTTTAATGATCATTTTTGATCGCCAGATGGCATTTTTTTACTAGATTTACTTTTTTTACTAGATCTCCGAAACCGCTAAACCTGCCTTAATGAAAATTTGATCAGTTCTTCATCTTGTTAATACAAGTGATGTTTTTTGAATTATCCAAATCGGACGCTCCATTCTCTTAAAAACTGAGTTACCGTTTTTGGCACTTTCTGCCCCATATCTTCGGAACGACTAGACCTGCTTTTGCCCAAAACTCATCAGTACGTCTCCATATGAATAGGAATCGAATGTTTTTTGAATTATTCAAATCGCTTCATCCGTGTTCCCGAAATCGTCGACGAAAATTTGTATCCGAACACACATACACACACGCACACACATATACATCCATTTTTCTAAGGTATGCCAAAATATTCAGAAACTTCTGAAACGTAAAGACAGTGGCGTACCTAGAATTTTTGCCGCCCGGGGCGGTCTCCAGATTGCCGCCCTTTCAATTATAAGTCAGTCAAATAGTAGTTTTCATAAATTAATACAAATAAACTAGTGGTGCATGGCATCGTGCCTTAAGGCAAATTGCTGGCACTTCTCGTACCAAAACATAAAATTTTTAAAAAAGATTAAAAAAGATTGAAAATTTTTTGAAATCTGGAAAAAATATATTTTTGAGAATTTCGAAAATTTTGAAAAAAATGGCTCTTTTTGAAATTTTTTTTTTATATTTTGAAATTTATTGAAAATTTGTAACTTTTTTTCAAATAAATCGCGCTGCGCAGCTGTTTTGGAGACGAAATATCGAAGCGAAACGGCTAGACATTGATACGGAACCCATAGAAATGTAAATTAAATTTGTTCTTATTATTAAAATCTCTAGAAAATATCAGATAATTTGACGTGGATATATCTAATGATCATTTTGGACCGCCAAATATGTCATTTTTTTTACTTTTTCTTATTGATTCTCCGTAATCGCTAGACCTCTAGACCTGTCATCCCAAAAACAGTTCTTTGTTTAGTCAATACAAATAAAATGTTTTTTGAATTACTTAAAACGGACGCTTCAATCTTTCAAGAACTAAATTACAATTTTTGGCTTTTTTGCCCCGTATCTTTGGAACGGCTGGACCCGTTTTGCCAAAAACTAATCAGCACGTTTTATCAGTACTAATCGAATGTTTTGTTCAAATAGGTTGATGCGTGTTTCTACAATCATCGACAAAAGTTTGTATCTAAACACACACACACATCCATTTTTTCTAAGATATGCCAAAATTCAGTAACCTCTGAAACGTAAAGATATATAAAAATTTTCACTTTCGACATTTTTGCGATTACTATATATAACTTACCCTACTGAAGTTAAAAAATTATTAAGTTTTTAATCAATATTAATTAATACACAGAGTAATTTTTTTCAGACATATTTATATGCACTCGTCAACATACTTATATAATGCCCTAAGGCTTTGCACCTTCCGCCAGACCTGATTTTCAAAAGAAAAATTGACGATTTAAAAAAATATTGATAAACCACTTCAAAGTAATCATTTAAACTTTTCAAAAGAAATGACATTTATAAGCTGATATAAATAAATAAGAAAAATCGCT